AGAACAAAATATCTTTCCTTGCTGTGATAATCAAAGAGACCAGGCGCGGGCAAATATCTTTCCACAACATGTGATTGGTTAAACAACAAATTATAAGTGAAGTTATCAGCCCTTCCCTTGAGAATCTTATGCTCCTTTAAGGCATCAAAATCAAAATATTGAGTGGGTAGGATAGGGTCAAAGGGCAAAGATGAAACACCCAGTCCTCGTGCTAAACATAAATTCCACCATAGAACCAGCCACTTTTGGCGTTATTCTGAAGTCTACGTGCAACAATCGCTCCAAGGTTATAATTGCTTTCACCAGTGAGAGCGGTGTGAATGAGGCTCAAGTCTGGCGAACAAAGTATGCTACAGTCTTGCTTGCCTACTATGCATTTCCCGTTAAATAATGCAATGTACTGAATTGCGGGAAAGTGAATGCTCTTTATTCTTCCTTGCCTTACTCCCCTATTTTCACCGTAGCAAAGGCTAGTCAAGAAGGTCTGATCAATTGTAGGTACAGTGGGGTTTTAACGCCCCATTCTGTGAGTGTCGTGTTCTCCACAGGGACTAGGCGACGACAATGATGCTCGGCTAAAGCTAGGTGACAGAGTTCAGATGATGATTGCGAGGAAATATAGACCTAAACTAACCAAAGTCAACGACAAAGAAAATGAAAATAAGCAAAAGGGAGATTCAGATTTTACTCATTGTCTTTTTGGAATTTTCGTAATGCTTGATAAGTTAAAATACTAATACGAGTATACATCAATGACAAGAGAAGTGGAAGGACATGAACATAACATGACAAGGACACATTACTATCAAACATAAACAAAGGGAAGAAGCGAGAATATATGACAAAATATAATTGTATCAAATCAAACACACACACACACATTTATATATCACAGGTACATAGCTAATACAGGGACTACAGAACACACAAAACCACACATATGTGAACAGGATACTACATCACGGTTCAGGTTAACAAGAGACAACAAAAATGAAATCTTACAAGCCACAAGATTAGTGCCCACAGAACAACACAACAGTATTTAACAACTAAAAATCACTGGTAGAAATTAACTAGTACAGCGAGAAGAAATACACAGGGTGAACACACATATATGCTGACAGAATACATATTACCAAAGTAACAAAATATTGCATATTAGTTAGTTCCCAAAGCAACAAGAAATACAGTATTCAGAACATAGAATTTATGACATGATATTTAACAAGTATGAACTGAGCAAACTAGTTGGTTGCAAACACTTATCAAAATCTGAACCTTACAAGTACTACACATCTCCTATTACAGAAAATTCAGAAAGAGAGATAAGCAGCGGCAAGATAGAAGAAGAAGAGAAGCAGCAAGAGATTGAGGAAGGAGCAGCAGGTTCGTGGGGGGAGGAGGAGCAGCAAAAGGTTCGGAGAAGAGATAGGGAGCAGCAAGGTAGGCGAAGGGAGCAGGAAGTCGCAAGAAGAAGCAGCAGCAACGTGGGGATGGAGAGAGGAGAAGGAGGAGCAGGGGCACAACAAGAAGGGAGCAGCAACGGGCCTTGGAGAAGAAGCAGTAGAAACAGCAACAAGGCGAGGGAAGAAGGAGCAGCAGCAAGGAAACTCTCGCGCGGAGGTGCTCAGTGGTGCGGTGGTGATGGTGGCGCGGTGAAGCGGGGAGTGGTGGTGATGGATGGCGGCGGTGTGGAGCGTGTGGAGGTGCTGGGTGGCGCGCCGCCACGCCGGCCTGGCCGCGGCGGCGGCCGGAGATGGAAGAAGAAGTGGTGAGGGAGAGAGATGGAGATGCCAGACCCGATGGGGATCGGCAGCCGCTAGGGATTTTGACCCCTCCTCTGATCTGCCACTTTGCAATTTTGGCCCCTCTCATTTTCTTCTTTCTTCACAAGAAGGTCCCTTTCTTCTTTAACTTGTCCCCTAGAGCATCATTTCTTCACACACAAGTCCCTCTGTCTTTCTTCTTTCTTTTCACTTGACTGATTCTCTTAACCACTAGTCCGGATCTTGTAGTTTATAGTGCCTTTGCGCACTTCTCTGCAAAAGAAACAAATGACTAGTACATGATTCTTTATATGATTATCATTCACAAATTCAACAATTCATAGCAAGAAATGAATGAATAAAACTCAATAAACCACATATTTGATTGCCAAAAGATGTATGTGAAATGTGTTGAACAAGTTCCCCCACACTTAAATCTTTGCTTGTCCTCAAGCAAAGGTAGATGACAAGAGCAAGAATATGAACAGTGAGTTGAGTAAAGGATGTCCTGGTAAAATAGATCTCCAAACAATGCATGCTTTGGACTTAGCTAGTGAAAATTGATGGTTAAGAGTGCTACAAAGTAGTAGGATACTAGTAAGCATGACCATTTTAAACTTTTACAATGATAAAAGAGGATCAACAGGTTTAAATGATGACTGCGCCAAATGGTTCCTAAAGAGAGCATGATCCCAAGAACAAAAAGAACTATAATTAAATCTCTTATTTGCAAAAATAAAATTTTGTGGTTGAACCACTTATTGAATTTGAAGAAAGTAATGATAATATTTTATCAGTCTTACGAAAGGAACATACCACCGATCCCGAGAACATGGTATACACCTGGCTCGACAAATTATTAGTTATTTTTGTTTGTCTCCCCAAAGGAATATACCACCTATCCCGAGAACATGGTATACACCTGGTTCGACAATTACATTTTTATTTATTTATTACTGTCCAAGCTACCAGATTTCACATGCATGCCATCGATCCAGGGAACATGACATGCTACTGTAGGTAGACCAGACTTATTTATTCATTATTACCTATCTTAAATGAACAACGCATAAGCACAAAAACAGGAATCATCACTTCTCCATGTCTGGTTCACATGCTACCGATCCAGGGAACATAGCATGCTAATCCATAGTGGTTAGGTGATTGCTCTCAATGGGAACACACTTAGCACAAATTCACCATCTAAACATGGTGATTTAGGTGTATCATAGTAAATGCAGAAAATGATTAAGTTTTCTAGTGCACTAGGGATTTGAGCACTCAAAACTAATAGCTTCACTACTAGGAAAAGGGCTATAGATGAAATGGACACTAATGGCGCACCAGACATGTGGTGCGCCATTACTATATACTAATGGCGCACCAGACATGTGGTGCGCCATTACTATATACTAATGGCGCACCAGACATGTGGTGCGCCATTACTATATACTAATGGCGCACCATGTGTTGGTGCGCCATTAGTGTCCAAATACTAATGGCGCACCACATCCCTGGTGCGCCATTAGTAACAAATTTTTTTTATTTTTTTTGCAAAACTACTAATGGCGCACCGTGGATGTGGTGCGCCATTACTAGTTAAACTAGTAATGGCGCACCACATCTATGGTGCGCCATTAGTAAAAAAATTCAAATTTTTTTTCAAATTTTTTTTATTTTTTTTTCAAAACTAGTAATGGCGCACCAGGGGATAGTGCGCCATTAGTAGTTTTAACTAGTAATGGCGCACCACATCCACGGTGCGCCACTAGTAATTTTTTTCAAATATTTTTTTTTCAAAACTAGTAATGGTGCACCACTCCCATGGTGCGCCATTACTAGTTCAACTAGTAATG